ACAAAATATGGACTTGAGGAAAAAATAAACATTTTTTTCCTTTATATACTAAGCGATTTCCACTGAATGCCGAGAAGAATTTTTGTTTTAGAACTATCTGCTCAATTGAGAGGGCATGCCAAATTTCTCATTTTTGCTCATGCTGAAAGAGAAGCATGCAATTTTTTTCTTTTTTGATAAATTGGCATGCAAATTGATCAGATTTTCTATGGCATGACTTCAGCTTCTACGGTAATGATTTTTAAAAGACCCCCATTATTTTTATGCTGCATATTTAAAAGATTGAGCCTCTGAGTGTGCAAGTTAAAGGGACAAAATGTAAGATTTTAAACTTTGTTTAACTTATCTGAAGACAGGCAATACTTTTTGATCATTTTAAACAGATAAATGCCATAAATTAATGTCACAAAAATAATTTATTTTATCACCTCCTTACAAATCTCGCCACCAGTCAGTCATCTTGACATTGTTTTAAATCGTGAGCGAACCAGAATTTAGTGCATGAAGTGTCGGTTGAATTTGAAAAAAAAAGGAAAAAAAGCGCACTTAGGCATGAGTTTAATTCTCTCATATTCTTACAGAGTTATGGTGAATGCCAGGAAAGGAGAATCAAAGGAGTATTAGTAAAAAAAATTCTAGGAAAAATTGTTTAGTATGAGTTTCAGATGATGAGTTACATGTACCAGCATCCTCTGTATGTACAAGATGAAAAATAAGTGGTGCACAGTGAATTTAACTTGAAGTTTTTAATTATTTAATGTTAAACTATGCCAGTTACATTATGTGTTCCCCGAAGAGTCCGCAACAATAATTCAATCACTCACTGTCTGGGCAGTGTGGTTTGTGGATAATGGGTTCAATTTCCCTGTAAATTTTATGAAGAGAGGCACCGCCTACATACACTTGGGGGACCAATAGTGAAGGTCAGGTTGAGTTCTTTGGAAATGGTCACAAAATTTTACCTCTAGGCATGTTTTTAAAATTTTGAAAATAATAATAATAATAATTTTTTACCCCAAAACATGATTGATTTTTATCAAAAAGAGAGACCAAGAGTTGGATGAAGGGGATGAAGTGGTTTGCAGGTATTTACATTATTATACAAAACTGTTGCCTTGAAATTATCATGAGTAGCTATAGACTAAAATACAGTCCCCATAATGCCCCTATTTCACACAGACCATGAATCCCACAAATCGCCAGGAATCGACAAATTTCAGGATTCGTGAGATTTTGCCAATTTTCTGGGCTAATTCGACATGCTCTACGATTCAGTTACAATACAGGTGTGATAGTGTTTCGAATACTCGTGGGATTCGGCTGGAATCGCACAAATATTGTCCAGAAATTCACTATGATTTTTTGGAATCGGGAGTCAGTGGCCAAAATTTTGAACAGCTCAATATTTTTGCCACGAATTCCCGATTGATCAAGAAGTACAAGAACTGACTACGATTCAACCATGAATCCTGAAATTTTCAATTCCGTGGGATTCGTGGTCTGTGTGAAATAGGGGCATCAAAGTTTTCGCTACTAATTCCTGTTGGTCAAGGAGTGCAAGAACTGACTACGAATATATACGAATCTGTTAAGAACTTCACGAACTGATTACGATTCAACCACGAATCCTGAAATTTGTCAATTCATGGCCATTCGTGGGATTCGTGGTCTGTGTGAAATAGGGGCATAAGCATGCTCATTTATTTAAACCCTTTTTATTGAGAGTGCATTTTCATGTTTGCACAATAAAAAATGTCACCCCTTTTAAATGCATTTTCACCTGGGAATGAAGACTTTTCAAGACCTTTTCAAGACCCCCTTGAAATACTACCTGTTCTACGTACCCATATATATCCTACCCAGGAATTCTAAATTATCCTGCACATTATCCTTGTATTCCTGGAATTTCAAAATCCCAACCAAGCACCCTTAAGCTATGTATTTTCTAGCTCAGGATTCTACATGTCCTACCCAGCTTTTTGTAGATTAAAGTTCTAATTTACTTCTCGTCATCCTTCATGTTTGCTGTAATTATTCTGGGATTCTGTTTAAGTCTACCCATCATATTCGATGAATATTTTCCACCGTGCAATGGAATACTACATTTCCAGCCCATCATCCTGTGCATTTTGTATTCTGAATTCTTCCTGTACGTCACACCAGAGGATCCCAGTAGCGAATTTGGGGGGGGGGGGATCTGCCCCTGGATCCCATGACCCCACTCCTATGCCCCAACCTGTAGATTCTATGCCATTTACCCTGAGGTCCAATAAATTAAACCCTTTGGTCTTATGATAAATATCTTGCCCTTAATAAGTCCAAGATAGAATTAATGAATGTAATGCTTATATTTTGTCGAGTTTTTGTTATTGTCCTTAAATCTGTACAATTGCCTCCTCAAAATCCCTCAAGGGGAGAATGCTAATGAAATGTTTACAGTCTTCAACAGAATTGATGATGTGATCAGAATACAGAACACCAGAAGAAAGATCAATGACTGTCACAAAGATGCATTCACTGCAAAATATAATTTGAAAGATTTGTCTCTGAGGAGATATTAGTTTTGTGTATTGACAAATAGTGACTTTTGTTAATGCATCTATAAAATTTGTGCGTAAGTTACTAATGAATGTGGAATTGTATGTGAGCATGCACTTTTGCTATCCTAAAAATATATATAAAGCAAAATTTAACATAGCATTAACATATATATATATAATATGTTAGGAGCTTGATCTGCATTGAAGTCAGTGATGCAGAAAGCATTAAAAAAAGATTTCAACAACTGTACATTAGTATATAATCTATAATCACGTACCCTTGTTAATTTTTTGCAGATAATTGTAAAAACTATATATAAACATTGTGTACAGCATTCAGTATTCTAGCAATTAAATTCTAAACATTCAAGTTCTATTTAGACCTCACTGACAATGTTTATTGATTATTCAAAACCCCAACTTCCAATTAATTATGACCGCTGAATTAGGCAGTGCATTTCACCATTTCCTTCAGAGAGAGAGACAGAAGTTCAGATACAAGTTGATGTAATTATAGATCCTCAACAGACTGCAATGTGAAATGAAACTTAATTAAGTTCAGCCGCAAGTACTTAATAGTAGCCATGGTGATGATCAAAATTATTTGTCAAGAAATGATTTTTATAATATTTGTAACACTGTGTTGATGTTGTTTAACACATGGATGGTACTTGTCATATACCACAAGGGATATTGCACTCATGCAGTTTTTATGTACAGACACAGATGTGTCTGTACATATTGCCATCACCTGCGTCTGTCGTCGCCGTCGTCGCCGTCGCCGATGCCGATGCCNTTTTTTTTTTTTTTTTTTTTTTTTTTTTTTAGAAATTTTGGCGAGTTTATGTGATTCATCAGTCTTGTTCAGATTCCTCAATAAGTACACTAGCTAAATACTTGAGATATGTGTACCTTGATGACAAGAGAAATTGAATTAAAAAAAAGAGACAATAAAGAGACAATATTTTTACCATTAATAGCC